GCCTTAACGGCACGCCTAGGTTGCTTTGCGGTTTCTTAGGGCTTCATCAGGCCACTTTTCTTTAGTGATGGAGCTCAACCCAGCTCTGGCAAGATTCAAAATGGCACGAAGTCCACCAGTATGTTCCAAGTAGAAGAAGAAAAGAGGAGATTGGATTTATATCCCGCCCTTCACTACCCAAAGGAGTCTCAGAGCGGCTTACAAACTCCTTTCCCTTCCCCACAACAGGCACCCTGTGAGGTAGGTGGGGCTGATAGAGCTCTTTCCAGAACGGTCCTTGAGAGAACAGCTCTGACCGAACTATGGCTTGCCCAAGGTCATTCAGCAGGTGCAAGTGGAGGAGTGGGGAATCAACCCCGGTTCTCCCAGATTACAGTCTGCGCACTTCACCACTACACTTCATTGGCTTTCTACACTGGCTAGGAATCAGGCTTTCTTCTGGAAACTCTCCTCTCCACAATGAGCTGGTGACCGCATCAATCTGAAGAGAGACTTGTACTTTCAAGGACTATTAGGTCACTGTTCAACTGGTGCAGCTGCCATTCATGCATGGTGGCAAAACTATTTGTTGTGTATATTAATTTTGGTTGTCAGTAGAACTGTAGGAGAAGACAGTAGTCTGTAGTGTGATTTGTACAGCATGATGGACCATTCTGTTTATTTGTTTCTATAATCTCCAGGTGCCGGCTGGAGATCCCCTGGCATCACACCTGACCTCCAGGTGGACTCTATGGCAGGGGTGTCGAACTCATTTGTGATGAGGACCAGATCTGACATAAATGAGGCCTTGTTGGGCCGGGCCGTGTGTTTCACAAAAGGTAATGCCAGGTAGCGGACATGTAAACTTTATAAAGGACACAAACACAAAGGTTCTTTTTTTAACTTAAAATAAAATCATGCTTAAAACATCAGCACTCTTGCAATACTTTGTTTACTTAACAGTGTCGGACAACTGACACCTCTTGCTCTGAATTATTGCATCAAAATGTCTGTGCTGTTACAATCTTGAGTATGCTGTTCAGGTGTGTACCTGTAAGCAGGGCCGGATCCAGCTTTTTTTGCACCCTGTGCAAGGATCCTTTCTGGCACCACCCCCACCCCTGTGCACCCACCAATTTTCAAAAATAAATTAATTTTAGGAAGAATGAAAAACACAAATTTATACACAAATCATTCCAGACTTAAAAAGGCATTGTCTAGCCTCCTTAATTGGGAAAGTT